ACGATACGTTGGAGCGGACGCCTAAGCCACAATTATTGTGGATGCGTTGTGCCAAGTTTTACGATCAGAATCGGTACTATCCGTTGGCGGTACCGTACTTGGACCCGAAGGAGATTATTGATCCGTTCTTCTGGGAAGTCATTGTGTCGCAAAGCGAGGAAGAGGAGAGTGCGGAGTTAGGATCTAGCGAGCATTCAGAGGAAGAATGGGCGTCGCTGGACGACGAAGCAAAAAGACGAGCGAAGGAGCACGCTAAGGGAAAGCAAACTCTCTCTCGAGCAACGTCTGACGATCCTACGCAGGATACTGAGCCGCCAATGGAAAAAGAAGAATGCGATGGCGTCACCACGAGGGCAGAATGTAGCAGAAGGCGAGCCCAAAGTCACTCCCCACTCCGTCTGGACGCGCAGCCAGTTACCTAAGTCGAGATGCGGGCAATCAGGCGACGCCACCGGACGTTATCCCGTCGTCCCATTGACTATCTAAGCCTACCTTACCGTCCGCCAGATCGAAGAGTGTCTGCCCTTTCCCGACACCTTGCACCCATTCCCCCCTTCCTTGTTCCACCAGCTCTATGCTACCTGCCTCGTATGCGAGGTTCTCCCCTACCCGACTACCCATTCCCTCGTCTCCTTCTTCCAACTTCAAATCCTCGTTTTCGGCATAGCATGGCGAGACTTCAACAACATTAAAAAAAAAAGTCTATTGCTTAATTACGGGGATAATCCCCACAAGTAATCAGCATGATCAGCTTCGCATAACCCTTTTGCGCACTCAATGCACTCTTTATCCCGACTATCTTGCCTCCCTTCCTCATCGCAATTGTCGCTTCTTGCGTATCAATCGATAAGCATGATACGCAACTATCCCCACCAGGGTGCGATCGCTGGCCTGTTTCCTCCTGCCGCTTTTCCAATCTCATCCTCCACCTCCGCCCCTTGTATTGAGAGTGCCAGCGCAGTCGGGGGAACAACAACAATGACGAGTGCAGCGGCATGGGGCTATGAATCCCCATAGGCGGCGGGCAACCGCGGCCAAGTCCACGGCAGTGGCCAGGCCGTGAAGCCCGCGGACGTGTCAAGGCGGACGCACGGCTTTGGGGCCGCATGGCGGCCAGTAGGGAGGGGGGTTGGGGAAATGAGAAGCGTGATGGGGCGGCTGTATCACGGCCCCACCGCCTCAAACAAAAAAACATTAAAAAAAACAAAGTTTTGGTTGGGGGGGTTGGCTGTATCACGGCGAAAATTGTAAAAAAAAAAAAGAACGCATTTTTTTTTTCTTTTCTTTGATTGATTGACTGATTGATTGATTTCTTCGATTTTTTTTTTTTTTTTTTTTGATTGATTGATTGATTGATTGATTGACTGGTGGGGGAGGGGTCGCCCCACCCCGCGATTGATCGATTGATTGATTGATTGATTAATTTATTTATTTATTTATTTATTTTTTTGATTTTGCGTTTTTTTTTGTTGATTGATTGATTGATTGATTGATTGATTGATTGATTGATTGATTGATTGGTGGGGGAGGGGTCGCCCCACCCCTCCCGCCACCGACCACGCGCGCGCGTGGACACACACATACACACGCATATAGGGTCTGAAAAAAAGAGGATCAGACGAATGGAAGGGAGAGGAGCATAAAAGGGCATGCAGCCAGATTTCCTCGAAGATGGGCCGGTCTAAGCATCAAGCCCTCGTTATATTTTTTTCTCTCTAGTTTTTCTGTCTGTTTTTTCTGTATTGTTTGCCTGTATTGATGGTACGATATTTTTCTCAATTTTTTTCTCTATTTTTTCTTCTCTATTTTTTCTTCCGTATTTTGTCCTTTCTATTTTTTCTTCTGTTCATGACGCAATAAGGGTGCACCCATGGTCGTAATGGTGCCCTACCTAAAAGTGGTGTGTGGCATTCACATCTACAGGGGTGATAGGTGCAGATAGCTCAGACGGTATGGACATGAATCGCTAGGCTGGACGATTTACGGACTGACGAACCACAAGGCCGTCGTCTGTTCGGGCGGCGAATCCGCGGATTTGTCTCCTCCTCTGTATC